CTCTCTCTCTCTCTCTCCGCGCTCGCCGAAGCATCCGTACAAGCGCCGCCAACTTTTAGTCGTCCGGCGCGTGCGGACGGAGTACGCCGTACGTACGGGGCGGACGTACGGAGGCCTCCCGTACGTACGCGGCGTGCGCTTACGCGCCGTCTAGCGGCTCCTGCCGTGTCGTCGTCCCCACGTCGTTGTCGTCGTCGTCCAATTCCTCTCCCCATCTTTGGTCCTCTCTCTCTCTCTCTCTCTCTCTCTCTCTCTCTCTCTCTCTCTCTCTCTCTCTCTCTGTGTGTGTGTGTGTGTGTGTGTGTGCGTTGCCGTGAACAGCCTCCAACACCACTGTCGTGTGGGCGACAACACAAATGTGGGCTACAACAAAAAGTGTTGGTGTTGACGCCCACAACGATGGCACAACCTGATATATAAGCACACGACGGCCCCAAGGCCCGCCAGTCTTTTTTTTTTTTTTTTGTTAAAAATGAGAAACAAAAAAAGGACTGCCCGCGTCCCCGCGGGGCTTAGCCTGGCAGGCAGTGGCGCGGGGCAGGGCTGCTTCGGCCTGCCCTTCGAAACAGCCCTGCCACGCGCCACTGCCTGCCAGGCTGAGCCTCGCAGGGACGCGGGCAGTCCTTTTTGTTTTTCCTCATTTTTCACCAAAAAAAAAATAATAATAAAAAAATTCAACAACACTCCTATGCCCCCAGCAACCCCCCCCAATACCCCATGCACTTAAACCCCCCCTAGCACCCCCCCTTTGACCCGTAGCACGCTCGTACGAGAGACTACGTCCGTCCGTCCGTACGGTCCGTCCGTCCGTATGGTCCGTACGGGTACCCCCCGTATGACGTACGGGGGACGACACAGCTTTGCTGATCCAATAGCCCCGGATCTGTGAAACATCAGGTTCGATATGGAACCTGCAGCCAGGATATGGTTCAAACAGCACTTGATCATTGATCTTGGGGAGGATGGATGGGTGGATTTGAACATAGCTTGTACGGACTCTCCCTGGTGTAAGAAATGTATTTCCACTTTGAGGACGACCCCGAGTGCCCGATCAAGCTGAGAACAGCAACTAGGAAAAAATCCTACAAAGAAATTGCGGGAATCGACGAGTCACAGGGAGAAAAACGTACCCAGAAGGGAAACCTGAAGGTAAAAGTTCCAACTCCCAACCCTTCGAAAGAAGGAAGCACGACAGAGAAGCTCGCTGTTGATCCTATCCTCATCCCAGCTGGGAAAAGTAAGGAAAAAAACCGGAACGAGGTATCCTCAAATGACGAGGATTCAGGCCCAGAGCATGAACTCAAGTCCTCCCGCAACCGGAAGCTCCTTGCGGCTTCAGCAGAAGCCGACACTGCAGCTATGGGCAAGAGACTTAGAGTTAACAAAGTTAAAAATGGGAAAAGAAATAAGACGAGGTCCCTCTCATGGAGGGAGAAAAAGGGAGCCAGACAGAGCGCCGGGCCTCCTACATCCTCAAATGAATCTTCCAAGACAAGAGAGTGGGATAAACAAAAGGGAGGGGAAGAAGAAAAAAACACAGAGAGAGAGGGGGGAAAGCCGAGCAAGGTGAACCCAGTGGACTCCCAGATTGATGGGAGACAGGGGTCGAATGACATGGATATCTCATCCACGATTACCCCCCTGCCCCCCTCGACTGAACAGTGGAACTCTTCAGTACCACCGAACCTCCCCCCGGTCAACTTCGACTTACTGAAAGACAGGATGAAGGTGGCCAGCTTGGGGTTCCCAGCACTGAGGCAACCAACCTCAGACAATCCGTATTCATCGCAGGTTCAGAAGGAGAAAGTGACCTAGACAGAGGGAGATCTGTCTCCTGGCAGGGGGCAGAGCCCAGAAAAGAGTGAATCAGCCAATCCTCTAACAACTCTACTCTTTAATGCCAAGTCGGAAGACAGACTCACTCAGGGGATAAAAAAGAAAAAAGGGACGAAGTCGGCCTCAACAGTGACTCATCCTAGGCCTTTTGATCTCAAGCATACCAAACCCCTAGACCCTTCCCCTGGGATACCAGTCATTACCAATACTGCCAAACGCCTTAAGGTGAACAGAGAGATAACTATCCCAAGTGGATCCCTCATCCAGGAAGAGGGGTCCGAAAAGAAGCAGTCCCCATGCAGGAAAAAACGACCACTCCAGCATAAGCAGGGAAGAAAATCCCTCAGTTTGGCATTACCCATAAAAACGATCTCACGCAAGGAAAAGGGAAATAAAAGGATCTCTCATTTGCTGGTCACACTGATTTGCTCAAAGGTCTCTGAGGCCTTTGGCATCCTCTGTATTCAGGATAAGGATGGGGCCCTGAGGCTCCCCTCAGTGGAGGTCCTCTCCTAGCCAACGGAAACACAGGCAGTGGAGATAATCAACTCCAAAATTATAACAGATAGAGGGGAGGTTTCCGCCCTCCCCAAAGGAATGATGGGACGCCAGAAGGTTTCCATCAGTAACAAGCTAACACTGATTCTGCATATATCGCTAGTGAAACTTGCGGCCTGGAAACTGCCCAGGACCAAGTGTATGAACAAGATTTCAAATGGATGGGTCTATCCCCACTGCAGGCTATGGCATCCTTAGCTTTTTCACAGATGCAAATAAGAAGGGA